TATATATATATATATATATACAATATGGTATTTCGATGAATTTTATATGATTTTCATTATTTTTTTAAATATACACTATAACAAATTTATTGTAATGTACTGCAGTAAAATTTATTGTAATGCACAGTAAAATTTGCCGAAATACTATATTTTCCCACAATTAACATGAATTTCAGGGTAAATTTAAAAAAAGATTATATATATATATATATTTTATGTATGTATGTATGTACACGGAGAGAATTTTTTTTTTAATTTACCCTGAAAATCATGTTAATTGTGGGACAATAGAGTATTTCGGCAAATTTTACTGTGTACTACAACAAATTTTACTGTACATTACAATAAATTTGTTATAGTATATATTTTAAAAAATAATTAAAGAAAATCATATAAAATTCGTCGAAATACTATATTGTTCTATGATTAACATGATTTTCAGAGTAAGTTTTAAAATAAAATTTTCTCCGTGTATGTATATGACATTCAATACGCGCAATAATTATTTTTTAGAATATTAATTATTTTGATTATTTTTAAATTGAATATATATGCATTTTACAGATTCCGCTGCCGTGTGCATCGTACTGGTGAGTGATAAATTATTGTTTTATTATAATTCTCTGAGGTAATCGATTTCTGAAAATATTTAATAAATTAAAAATGTATGCACAAGGTAAAGAATATCAAAAAAGAATTAAAGAATTAAAATTTTTTCTAATAATAATAATATATAAATTTTAATAGTATCAAATGCAACCGTTAAATGCTATGTATTATTTATTATTGTAAATATTGTATTGAGTGATAAATTATTTTTTTATAATTCTCTGAGGTAATCGATTTCTGACAATATTTAATAAATTAAAAATGTATGCACAAGGTAAAGAATATCAAAAAAGATTTAAAGAATTAAAATTTTTTCTAATAATAATATATAAATTTTAATAATATCAAATGCAACCGTTAAATGCTATGTATTATTTATTATTGTAAATTGTGAAATATTTAAATTTATTATTTATTTCTACTGTTGTCCGCCAAGATGAATTCATTTTATGTCCCTCCGTAAGAACCGTTGAATTCATTTATCACTTAATTTTGTATAACGAAAAGATAAAGTTAATATCCATTTATCTTAAGAGCTTTATTTTTTAATTTACTTGCTAAAAAATGTCTTTGAAACAAATTGGAGCTCCGGGAACTCCAGAATTCTCTGGGAAAGAGCTGGCGTCGGTCAGATCAAAGCTTTGAAAATAGGACGTTAACCTTGCACAAGTGAAAGTCGGTCTACAAAAAGATTACTTTCACCACAGCAGAGATGGTAAACGGAAATGCGAATTCTAAATACCCTTAGATTTCTTATACGAAGCAGAAGGTGTTATGTGTCGGCTACGAACAAATGTTACGAAACGCGCGCCGTACCTGCCGGAAGAGGCATCCGACATATCGTAATGAGCCGGCGCGTATATTCCGTCACATGTGGTTTTTTTCTACGCGGCACGTGCTCGATGCCAGGGGGTCGTCCATAGGGGTGTGCCGCCGGCGGTCAGGGGGCAGATAGCCATCGGGAGTCATCTGGCTGAGACAGGGGAGTATCATTAAAACGTTACATACGAGCCAGGCGGTGGAATGGGGCCTGATTCACTCATTGAATTAATTGGACATGCAAGGGTTCAACCGGACGGAACCTATACATGGCAAGGCGACGGATGGACGAGCGACGTTGGGCTTTGATCGTGTCGCTCTCGGCGCGCGAATACTCGTTATCGTTACGATAATGTCGCACTTTAGTATGCCATACCTCTTGTGATTTTTACGTGCGAATTACGACGCGCGAGCCGACAGGCGAGAATAACGTCGCCGTCAATTTGTCGATTAAAAAAATTGTGATCTTTTTTTCTACACTGCAAAGATAATATAGTCTAATATAGTTTAATATAAATATAATTAATATAATGTAATCGAAATTTAATCGAAATATTGCAAATATTAGGTACGTCTCAATTCCCAAATAATCAGATTTTACATTTAGCCATCTTCTTTGGAATAATCGCTTATATGTATATATAATTGGTTAATTTATTAAAATAATTTCTTGTCTTCTATGAGAATTGATATCAAATTCCGCGAAATGTTATTTTGAGATAAGTGGACGATACAGGAAGTTACGTTCAAGGTCTGCTCGAGTCGAATCGTCAAGTAATGATGTTCATCGATCGGCGCGGCCTCCACGGGCGACTAATTAATCGCCATCAGCAGATGACGCACCCACTGACCGAGACGATCGCGAGAGCGAGATAAGAACCTCGTCGAATGGTAATACTCTAAGCTTCTGCTCCTCCGTCCGGCCGATCCCGCCGGCTCGTTCTCATTAGTGACTCATCTGCTCGAGCGTAGAGGCAAGTGACATCAGGCACGACAACGACTAAAAGCAGACACGCAGGTATCTTTCTACCTGACGAATCGACAGAAGGAGTCAACCCCCTGCGTTGAGCTCCTCGCTTTTAAGGTGTCATCTGCCTTCGAGCAAGTCAGGTGGACGATGGTGAGGAGATAGAGAGGACTCGTCATGATTATGTCCAACGAGTCGCTCGTCCGCTGGTAGCCGGTGTAACGCGCAACACGCATCCCGTAATGATGCCGGAGGCGAAGGCGAAGGCGGAATTATGGTGCCCGGACCTCCCGCTGAGAGCGATCGAGCAGGTAGACCGCGTTCTTACCTGGTCAGCGGGTCGCTGCTGCATTGCGCTACGGTACTCCGCTAATTCCACAACGCGCGGACGAAAGTGCCGTTTATGGTTTCGAAACTGCGAGAGGGAGAACCTGGGTCGGAAAGTGGTGGGTGGTCGCTTGTCGAGCTACGAATTTATTAATTACTAGGATCGGCGCATGTACACGGAACGGCTGATTTAAGATTCCGCAATAATGCTCGCGTATTACTCGCTTGTGCGCGAGCGTAAATTAGGTCGCGCAAATGATCCGTAATATGTAAAGTATTTAGGGGACTTACAGGGAGTATAAATCTGTTCGAACACGTGTAATAGAAAGGAAATATTTTCTTCTCTACACGATTAAGTATATTCTAACAAATTTAAAGACGTAAAATGATCAAAGTGCGTTGATTTAAATACATATTTGATTGCATTCGTATTGTCGAATTAATTAATACGATTGTTTATTTTTATTTTGTAGTTCAGAGAAAAGCGCAATATTAGAATTCAAGTAGCGTTGTCCCCCTGCTGCTTCGTGCCATTATATCCAATATTTTATCTTTTAATGCTTTGAGAAAATCAGAAGCTGAAATTCCTCGAGAGAATCTCACGTACATGAGTTTGGCAACAGCGTTTAGGGAATGGGATTCGTTTTGGGATCTTCATTGTGAGTTCATAGCCATTCTCTATGGCTCAACGCCTACAATAATCTCGTTACGACTGGTATCTCGGGGATCCCGCTGGCCCGGAGGGTTTGACAGGGATACAATGCAAGGTGCTTTGTCCGTACCTGTCGTGAGCCGATGCCGATCGCAACGTCTCTCAGATCTCAGAACTATATAGGATTTTTCTTACTTCCTCGGGGCGAGTGTCGCGAGGGCAGTTTTTCTTTCTCCCCGTCGTGGATCCCGTCGTCTCGTATAGAGGGTTTGTTTGAAAGTGTTTTGGTTCGTTGGGAAAATATGGAGATGTCTCGGTGTTGCACTAGAATTGTG